CGAATACATACAGGAGTGAGTCCAGCCAAGACTAGCAGACCCTCCTAGCTGACCCACAAACTGGGGAGCAATCATAGATGCTTATTGTTTTATGCCATCATGTTTTGGGGTGGCATGTTTCTTAGCAGTAGGTAACTGCTATATCACCTTAACAAATCTTCCTTGATCCATTATGGGTAAACACAAAGATAGAAAATTGTACTTCCAAATGAAAATCAAACATAAACCCTTAGAATACAAACCAATTGGCGTCTTTCTTCTGAAAAATACTCAGGCAATACTGAGGTTCCTAATTATTAATATGATCTACCCTTATCAAAACAGTAAGCTTCTTTTTGGAGCATATTCCTCCCTATTCTTCACAATCTCTCCATTTCACTTTCAGCCAATTCTCTCTCCAGTGCTGCCATGCAGTTCCAGTGCTTCATGGAATTTTTCTGAAGATTCTTAAGCTAAGGTGCTAAAAATTCAGTTTATTACCCCTGCCAGAAGTGTTATCATTTGAAAGAAAGGTAAACCTTACCACTTATATTTTATTCACAGCATCTAAAACAGTTTTTGGTGCAGAGTAGAAACACAAAAATATTTGTTAATGAATTAATGTATCTTTCTCCCTTATTACTCTTCCCTATTAAAACTGCTCTCCACTTTCAAAACTATTTCTAGTCTCTTTACCCCGCCCTAGATTCATAAACATTAATCTATTTTACTTGCCCTCTGAGTCATGCTAAACCCTATATAGTATACTATAGCATGCTATAGCATGTATACTAACTCTCTACCTTTTACCACTACAGATGTGAAAATCCTGGCTCTGCTACTGACTATATGTGACACTAGGGAAACTACCTATCCTTTCTATGCCCCAATTTTCTTATTACATAATGGTAATAAAAATACTGCCTGTCTCGAGTAAGAGTAAATTAAATAATATATGTAAAATACATAGAAAGAACTTGTGACAGTGTTAAGTACTCAAAAGAGGCTAGCCATTTTTTAAATCTTGCCTATCTTCTTACAAAGATGATGCCAGCTATTCATTTTCACCCTTACTTTGTCCAGATTGCAACACTGATGGACAGTGACACATCTCTACCCATTAAATGCTCTATATTGTGCCTTTACTATCTTTTGAGCTCTCAATATCTAGAATTACCAAAGTTTGTTTCTGATATTTTCTGCTCTCATTGGGAAGAGCAGAAAACCCAGGTCTATCCCTTCTAAGCTCAACAGATAAATCTTATCTTCTGAAGACCTGTGTATGTCATTCTCTCAGCCCACAGGCCCTTAAGCATTATTTCCCTTGGCCCCACTTTTGAATTTCTCTCTAGTTTCTCTCATCCTTGTTCATTTATCTCATTGAACAGAAGTATGTATTCCTTCTCACACTAACACTTCCATTTAATATTCCCATCATCACCTATTTCTTCTTCCTCCAGGATGTTGATCTATTCCCTTTTTAAATCAATTTCTCTTTCTCCACTGACTGTTTGCCCTTGGCCAATAAACTCTTCTGGTCTCTCCTGCCAGAAAAATATTTTCACTTAGTCTGCCACTAAGATTACTCGTTTGCTTTCCTTTCAGCTACAAAATTCTCAAAAATAGGTGATTTAAATATAACACCTGCACACCTTTCTCTCTCATTTAGCACATGTACCAGCTGGCCCCAAACCCTTTTATGTCATATATGATATGAATATATTATTTTCCATCAACATGATTTTTATGCAATGGAAGAGCAAACAGAACTGTCATATCTTTTGCAATGAAAGAACCACCATTTAATAAATAGTCACCATTAGATTCTGTGCTAAGCTCCTTGAATATATTATCTCATTGAATCTTCACAACAATCCTATAAGGTAGACAGTGAAAGCATTTCCATTTTACAAATAAATAAGGATGCTGAACTTAATTTTTTTTCATTTATCTGTTTATGATCTTGGAGCTACAACTTAACTAAACCTCAGTAGCTCAGGCACAAACTTAATCACCTATGTGCTAATCATTACTCTGATGATTGCTCTTTGACTCATGAGCTATCATACTATGAACACTGCTCTGTTGAAGGTCACCAAAGGCCTAACTCAAAGTGCTTCTTCCCTGTTCTAACCCCATAAGATTTCCTATGGAACTTCTTCCTTATTCTGCATATATTACGTATTGCTTTCCATCTAAATATGGATACCCCTTCCTTCATGGATTACTGTATTTTACTCCTACACTTTTTATCTGTTTTTCCCTGCCTCCTCTTTTGCAGAATAGACACACATACTGCTATTTCTCTCATATTAAGAAAGTTACATTCTTTTTAAATTCTGCTTCATTGGTATAGCCACTACCTTACTTTTCTTTTTTACTTCCCATTGAAAAAGAAGTCTATATGTGCTAGTTCCACTTGCAAATTTCCCATTCACTCCCCAACCCACTGAATCTCAATTCTACAAGCATTCTATTGAAACTGCTCTTTCCAAGGCCAACAATAATCTCTAATTAAAAATCCAATAAAACCTGTTCAGTTCTTATCTAACATGATCTGTCTAAATGTTTCATTGGCACTTTAAACTCAATAGACTTAAAAAATGAACTCATTGTTTTCGCCACCTGCCTCTCACCCTGCTTTAGTTCCAAGTTTTTCTCTCATGTTTAGCTTAATTTCTATTATTCCATTTTAGTAGGCTCAGGACCTCCTGTAGTTTTCTTCCTCATCTTCATTTCATTCACCAATCATTTCACCTATCTCATTTCAACCTTGGCAAAAACCTGCATTAGAGGCTCTTAATTCTGGATGCATGCTAGAATCACCCAGGGAACTATTTTAGAAATACCTACACAAAGACCCTAATCCCAGACCAATTTAGAGAATCTCAGAGAGTTAGTTGGGCATAGACATTTTTTAAGACTTCTCAAGTAATTGAAATTGCAACCAGGATTGAGAGTCATGTTTCACATTTTCGTCAGTCATATAGTCGAAACTCAGACTCTCAACAGCTCTCTCCTAGATTATTTTAATCCTTTCTAATTTCTTTGCATGCCCACAACCTCTCTTCTTTGAGATTTTCAAACACATTTTTGCTAAAATCTGTAAAACACAGCTTTACGGAACATGCATTGCCCTGCCATGTTCACATAACTTCTAGAATAAAATTTAATTGCTTTGCATAACAAATAAGCTCATCCAGGAAAATGCTTAAGGTATAGTGCAGACCATTTAGCAACTTGCAATATATTGGAGAAAAACAAATACAAAAAATCAAAATAAATACAAAATTCTCATAAATCTTCTATATACCCACTTTCCCATTGGTTAGCATAGTGCCATAAAAACAGAGGGCATGGAGAAAATATCTTTTGAAATAATTTGAAAGACCATTTTTAAGACTAAGCTTCAGTTAACCCCAAAATTCAATCTAGATAAACACGCTTGTGTCTAGTAGGAATTCAATAATTGTCAGTTAATTGTCATATAATTGTACTACTTTTCCCAAACTCACACAGTGCATATCAAAGCAGTGAGAAAGAAATCTGCAAGAAATCTAAATATATTTATTTCAATGTTTTCTTCCCAAAGCATTATATATACAAAACAAGGACAGAAAGGAAGGGAGGGAGTGAGGGAAGGAGGGAAGGAGGGAAGGAAAGGTAGGAAGGAAAAAAGAAAGACCCTTACTTTGATAGAAATAGTAACCTTCTACCATGAGAGCTCTATTTGGGTAGCAGGGACAGAAGATACTCAGTATATGCCTCTCCCAACTTTTCACTTTCTCTAAGCATTGTGTCTGGTATCATCCTAATTCTGCCCATCACATTAGTGAGTCAAAGTGGGAAAGGGCTGGATAATGAACAAATCAATTTGATTTCTTTGTTTCTTTGCATATATTGCCCTTTCATATGGATGCATTATCTATGAATTGAGAAAATGATAAAAACTTTGAAAAGATCAAGTCTCAATCACTCTATTAATTACTATGCTATTAGCAATTATTATCGAAAGTCACAGTTGAATAATATAGCATTGGTTGTAAATAGTGCAAGTATTGTTGAGGGAAATAAGAACAAAATTAAAATTTCTCTTTATTTTAATCATAGATGCAAATTCTCAGATATCCTCCTACCCATTAATAACAATAGCATATTTGAAATCACTTATAGTACACGCTGATGTTAAAACTGGAAGTTTCTATTGTGTTAAGGCAACAAGAGTATATAAAAAATAAAGTAAAATAAAGCTATAGGATATTATTCCGAAAATAGAGGACTTCAAAAGAATTACCACAAATCAGTCACTCATTGGACCATACTCTCACACTGTAATCTCATCCATGTTCCAGGATATTACAACGGATGGATACCAAGATAAGGATCTCACACACACACACACACACACACACACACACACACACACTCATGTGACAACTAGTGAGATCTGAATTAGGTCTGTATTGAGTTAATAGTATTAATCAATGTCAATTTCCTGGTTTTGACAATGTTATATGATTATGTCAAATGTTGTCACTGGGTAAGATGGGGAAAGTTTTCAAAGAAACCCTCTGTGCTCTTTCTTGTAGCTTCCTGTGAGTCTTAATCTACTTAAAAATAAAAAGTTTAAAAAGTTTTTTAAAGGTTAAATTATAGTCATATTTGTGATTTTAATATCTTAATACATATTTTGAAAGATAACTAGGTCATTATCTTTAACAATTTTCATAAAATACATTTTACATATTGCTAGCAAATTATGCCAGTTGTACTCACAGTCAAAATGGGCAAGTAGCACAAGTGTTAAGCATATCTATTTCAATTGTATCCTAGCAAAGAAGCATTCGTATATTGGAACCTTGTGTAAATGGCAAGATTTGCCATGGATCTTTATTAAAAAAAAGATTGAAGAACTTATGTCATCTTCCCCAGGAATTCAGAGTTTTCCCTGGATAATAACTGAAATGCTTTAAAAATAAAACACAGAAAACAGATCTATAAATGTAATTTATGAAAGACAGTTCATTTTATATCCCAATTTTATTCACCTTTTCTGAATAGTCACAACATTAATCTACTGGGGATAATCTAGTTAGTATATTTGAAATTCCACATATTTTTTTCTATTATATGCATGTATTACACTTGTATATAATACAGAGTTTCCAGTGTTGATTTAAAGAACATAGTTTAAAAATGAGAAGCATGATCTATAATCTCAAATCTCAAACAAACCTAGGACAAATTCATAATTTCCAAAAAGTATAGCTTTTCACTTGGTTACAAAGAAATTAATGATATTCTAATTGATGCAGAAATTCCAGGACAACCGGTTTTTTATATATATATAATTTTATATAGTCTTGAGCCATTGTGAAAATCCACTCAAAGCCATCTAATTCATTTTATGCATGATTAAAATGGAGGCAGAAAGTAATTTCATTCCACGATCTTATGAGACAGTGGATTTTAGTTCAGTGGGAGATGTATACTTTTCAGATTTTATTTTTAACCAATTTTACATTTTTAGTTGCTCTTCCTAGGAAAGTGTCTGAGTAGTGTATTGGTCTTTGAATATTGTCACAAACTAATAGACCAAAGTTCCCCAGGATATATGGGCCTCCATCTTGGAAACCAACGTATGTCTAACTGACCATACCAGTGAGTTTTTAGAATACAAGATATTTCCATACCTTCTTCCATACCACCTTCCATGATGGAAATTCTAAAAGGACAATTTATGAAGCATCTTCTGAGTAGTCTTAAATGAGTAAAACACAGAAATCCCTCTCTTTGCATTCCTTCAAACTATAGGTTTACACAATATTGTTATAGAATGGCTACACAATTTTCTTTCTTCTCTCCCTTCATATCACAAATGAAATAAAACAAATGTAGTATAAAATTATACATTCCATAACTTAGGGGAAAAAAGTGCATACATGTTTAAGGCCTTTAAATATTTATGACTTTCCTGTAGAACCAAAACCATAAATGTTAAAATAGCTACAAAAATGTCACAAAATATTGGCCTAACAAATTGTTTGAATAGGAAAACTGTAAGCAAATATTTATAAAAATGAGACTGAGGAAAAGGAACAATTTCTTCTATCAACAGATTGAACAAATATATTAGCATTCAAACAGTCATTGGGATCAAGCAAAAGAAAGTCTTTTAAAATGAGATAGGACAGTTTTTTAAAAAAATACTAGAAGAAATCTAAGTGAATAATGTTCAAACTAAGAAATCAGAAACTCACATGCATCCCTGTCAATTTTGTTGGAACTGAAGGCTACCCAGTAACTTGACTGCTCACTGCTGATTTCTGTGAAGGGAATAAGTAAACATAAAAAATTAAAGAAAAGTTCACTTAAAAAAAAAAACAGAAAGGGAGAGTGCTCTAGAGGTACAAAGTATTATATAATGAAAATGGTAATCCAGTTCTAAGTACTACATATTTGACAAAGAGCTTCAGGAGGGTGTTGTTAGCCTTAGGGAAATATGTCAGCTTGTCTATACATTCTTATATGATTGATTTATTCAGATAACTATTACTTGCCAATGTTATTACCAATGGATATATATTTCCATTCCTTTAACAAAAGCAACTTTAAGATGTTAAAACATGTAGGCTTTCCGAGCTCCAAGGTTAGGATATAAATAAAATTGTCTCAGTCTACACCATGCCAGAGGAAAAGTTCTCAAAGGAAATGTCATTAAAGCCATGTGTAGTCCCACTAGCAAATGAACACATCCAGGACAGAAGGACAGTGCACTTGGGATACAGCTTGCAGAAACAAGAAAAGTAGTCACATCTGGAGCCAATAACTCAAAAGGTGACTGTCTCTGACATCACCCTGAAAAAACAACTCTTCACCAGCTCCGCAGACAGTGACTTCAAATTCTTTTAACAATTTACAAGTGGAACACAGTTCAAATCTGCTGAAATCTTCATGATATAGAAGTTCATGTCTGACTTTTAAAAAGTCTTGATTTCAAGAAGAGGCCATGAAATCCCTTGGAAATAGACTCTTGAGCGCCTCTTTCAAGTGGTATAAAAATCTTCAAGATCACCCCAGGAGTTAAGTTTCTATGCGTATGTTCAATGTCATCAGCCTTGAGGATCACTTGATTTCTCCTGGGTTAATGGGTTACCTACAAAGGAAGAAGAAAATACAGTCAACATTTCATAACATAACAGTAATCTTAAAACTAAACACAATTAAAAATTAATTGGTAACTCAAAATGCTGGTGTTTGCTATTCAAATACATTGCTTAATTTTAAAGGACTACCAGATGCAGGTATTTCCACCATATAAAAATATACTTTTTTTCTCATTATCATCTCACAATATTTTTAGAGTCACTTGCACAATTATCCAAATGAATACAACTGTGGCTAGAATTATCCCAACTGGTGATAACAATATCCCTCTTAGACCCAGAGAGTGATTCTGGAATCCTTGTTTTGTTGCATAGGCTTGGTGGCCATAGCCTAAATATCATAAACACATCATACTAGGCCTCAGTGAAGAAAGACCTCTGTTCCCAGCAAAATAGTCACATCATATTCTCAAAAAGCCCTTGGGGATTGGCTCCATAAAGTTCATTTTTGAAATAGTTTAAAAATTGAGGGCTTATTTGAGTCAATTATATTTTGAAAAAAAATCTGTTTATGGGGGACAAAAATATGTGGGGAGAGAAACAATAAGGAATAGAAAAATGTTGTACCAAATGTTAAAGGTGCCCCAAATTTTTCATAAAATTGATAAGAACATACTATTAATGCTATTTTAAGTATCACTCAGAAACATTCATACTAACTTCACACCTATCAAAGTCCAAAGACCATTTGTATACAGGAGAAAAGAATAAACAGATAGAATAACTGATACATATATACATACATATCTATATATGCATAGATACAGAGGAAAACACACAGAGAGAGGGAGAAGGAGAGAGGGAGAGGAGGGAAGGAGAAGGAGGGGAGAGGAAAAAAGATTTCGAGAGAGAGGGAGAGGATAGAGGGAGAAAGAGGGGAGAAGAAAAGAGATTATTGACACAGCAGAAATCAAGAGATTTCTGCTGTGTCAATAAATTTCTAATTCCACTCTCATATCAGGCAGGGTATTTAGAGAGTTACCTAACAGGTCTTTTCTAGGAATGGCTAAAACGAAAAGCGATTTTAAAAAATTATTGTTGAAACTTTGATTTTATTCTATTAAGTGACATTGTTACTTGTCCTTTGAAAAACATTACAAAAGTCTTCGGTTTCATTGTTTTCTGATCAATTATAAAAAAATGAATACATTAAACAAAATAATAAGCTAGTTCTAGACTTTGCTATGGCTAGTCTCAAATTACATTACCAAAGGGAGATGCCACAGAAGGCAAAAATGTGTTTTCATGTATGGAGGCAGTCATCTTTTTTCTGTCTCAGTGGTCTGCTAGCACTGCCGAGGAAGGAGTTCTTTGCCTATTATCTGAAGTATCTTACTCCCCAACCATGGAAGAAGTTGAACCGAGGATGGAGGGTTGGAAACACATGAAGAGCCTACTGCATCTCTGAGACTCTGGGAGCAGGAGATATCTTAAGCGTAGCAGTGATCTCATTATCAATTATCAATTATCAATCTGCCTGCTATTCAGGAGTCATCATATACAATTTCTGTGAAGGACTTCCAAATTGAGTATGAACGTGGACCATATTTTCAAAACTAATGCTGCAAAGACAAGAAACGAGAGAGGAAGATATATATGTGTGTGTAAAAGACGGAGAGAGGAAATTGAGAGAGAATAAATGGTTTAGCCTCTGCTGCGGCTCCGTGTAGCCAAATGGAGAAACATGGCGGAAATGAACTGGATGAACATGGTGCCATGACTCCATGATAGCAAGACACATGTCCTCTTGATCCACTTCAAGCTCAGGTTCTAAGTAATCTATTAGTGAGTGTAATAGATGCATTCCTATATCTTCATTTCAAGCTAAATAAATATTTGACTCTACTGGTTTATATAAAGTAGAGAAATGTTCCTCTCAACTATTTATATATTAAAACTTTACTCATATAATTTTGAAAATAAATATCTAAATTAAAAGTATAGTACAAAAGGCTTATGAAACTAAAACAAATCTTTCTCCATTTTTGTAGAGAAATATATATATATACACACACATATAAACATATAAACACATATAAATAAGGAGGTTACCCATATCCTCAAAAACATCATAAACATACATTTTTATGATATCTTTCTATCAGCTAACATAATTGCTAGAGAAACAAAATTTAAACATGACTAAAAGAAGTAATTGTCTAAATACACATGGATTATAGCATAATTAAAGCAACCTATTCTCACACCTAACTTTTACACAATATTCCTGGATTACTAATTTTAAAAATATCCTAGAAAATATTATGAGATGAATAATATGATATAAATCATTTCTAATATTAGATGAAAGTGTACAATCTAATACTTGATTTTTTTGTAATTATTTGATTTTGATAAGAGGACACATGGTGGTTCAGCATCAAGAGCTCTGTATTTAGGCCAGAATGGCAGTACTGCCATGAAGATCAAGTATTATAATGTTATTTAACACCTAGTTTTGTCAACACTGAACAACTATAAAAATAAAAGGTCTGGATTTTAGGAGGAATTTTTTTTTTTTTTTTTTTTTTTTTTTTTTTGAGGCGGAGTCTCGCTCTGTCGCCCAGGCTGGAGTGCAGTGGCGCGATCTGGGCTCACAGGCGTGAGTATGGTGTAAAGTAAGGAAAGTTCTATTTTTTTTTTTTTTTTTTTTTTGCTTTTGAATGTATAAATCTTTAGCAAAAGAGCCACTGAAAGTAGAATGAAAGAATCACACTGTTAAATAAAGTTTAGCCTAAAGCTTCCTCCTTACTTATTTTAAGTTTGACCTAAAGCTATCTCTGTACATCATAAACTATAACCTAAATAGAGGTATAAACACACTGTAGCCTACTCTTATGCCAATCACCAAGTTTTGGCCAATCAAAGGTAGCCAAACTGCTCAAACTGTGTTCAAATAAGGCAGATGCTGAGCTGTAACCAATCTGGCTGTTTCTATACCTCACTTCTGTTTTCTGTATGTTACTTTCCTTTTTCTGTCTATGAATCTTCTACCACGTGTCTGTGCCGGAGTCTCTGAGCCTACTCTTGGGAGACTGCCTGATTCACAAATTGTTCTTTGCTCAATTTAATTCGGCTAAAGTTTTTCTTTAAACAACACTAACAGACATTCATGCAGGTTTAGAGAACTACATTGAAGGAATTAAAGCCTAACTAATGACTCATCCTTTTCAACACAAAATAAAGATGAACATGCATAAATATCTACCAGCACCCTCCCTGACAATCTCAAGGTTTCCACTAAACAAGATGGGAAAACCGTAGGTTTAAAAATGTATAGGAAAATGATTCTAAATATAGGTACATTATCACCAAGTAAAAAAGCTTACTATGCAAGGTCCAAATACTATTTGCAAATAAAATTGTTACCTAAAATTAAACAAAAATATCAACCTTTTATAATTTGTATGCTTATTTTAAATAAATCTGAGTGACCCGAGTTTAAATTCTGGCTTGCTAGTGGGGGAAACATATTTTAAACGTCATTTTACCTTTTACAGACTCTAAACTGGAACATCTTGATATGCAAGATTTGCTTAAGCAATATTTATACAATCCAACATTTTATAAAGTAAAAATAATCGTTAATATACCAAATTAAGCATTGCCATATTTTTAGAACTTAAATAACATTCTTTCATTCAAACCGTATTTTTTGGAAGAGGCCAAGCACTAAGTTTTACCTTCTAAGGAAGATTTTTGGCATGTTTTCAGTAACTAAAAGCAGGAGGTTGCAATAAAATCAGTTTTACAGGATGGGAAATAGCATTTGCTACCATGATTGCACACTATCTTCTTGTTCTGAGAGGGCAATAGATATAAAATACTGCATGAGGGAGAGAAATGGCCCTACGATTGTTATGGTTATGCCTTGAGCTTCATGCGCTATAATCACTATCTCAGTAAATTTGCCTTTCCAGAGGCAATATTTTACACAGCTGTTCTTTTTTACGCAAATCTTATTTGTGTGTGCCGCGTACCAGCCAGTTTGGTAAGTGAAACTACTGGGCTGCTGAACACATATAAAATGCAGAAATTATAATAATAGCTTTTCTGTCACAAGCAGGAAGCTACCCTAGTAGCGGTCAACCAGGATGAAGATGCTAATCTGGTAACATTAAGCAAAAAGTAGTAATTATTTAAGATTCAGGGCACCCACTTATCACGGGCCAACAAAACAATTATAGGGCCCTGATTAGATTTCTAAACAACTCATGCTAAAATCATGTCTTTAAGTCTGTTCAACAATTTAAATTGAGAAAATAAAACCTGGTTAATAACGTATATGATTTAAGTGAAATTTGAAATTAGGTGAACTCAATTATTTATACTGTTTCCATTTTACTGTTTGAGTATTGTGAAATTTCCTCTGCCAATCTTCAAGTTAAAGTAAATTACAAAGTTGGAAGGAAATTCAAGAATCTATTCTGTCCTTTTACAAAATTCTTAAAATTCTTACAATCATTATATTGAAATCTAAAATTCCTTCTTCCCCCTGTTCAAGTCCTGCTGACTAGGTTATCCGCAGGAGATAATATATTATGGTGAGAGGCATAATTACAAATAGCTCAGGCTTTATTCGGCAGACTGCCCAGGTTCAAATCCTTGCCTTATCACTAACACTATGGGGTTGAAAAAATTATTTAAACTCGCTGACCCTTGGCCTCCCTGTGTGTAATATGCTATTGTGATTAAATCAGATAATCCAAAGTGCTTGTCCCAGTAAATGCCTTTTCAATATTAGTAGATGGTAGAAGTAGAAATTTTCAAACAAGATACAAAAGGTGATACATAAGATACCTATTGGAGGGAGGTATTACTTCTTGTTTCTCTAAAATATATTGACTTAATTTTCTGTTGCTTACAGTGAATCATCTTGCAATTATTTCTTTTCTTGATCTTGTTTTGTTAATAATAAAAGTCAGATATTAAAAATGAAGCACTGGCCAGGCGTGGTGGATCAGGCCTGTAATCCCAGTGCTTGCTGTAT